CCCTACGTCCAATCCAGAGAGATCGATCTTGTATTCCTTGCACCGGAGTGCTCGTAGTAGGGGGTTACAAGCTAGGTGAGAGAGGAACTAGCCCTGGTCTCGGCGAGTGTGGTGCGGGCTGCTTGAGGCGTTGTTCCCAAGCGGCGCGAGGAGTGCGTGGTTCTATCGGCGTGTTCGTCTGTTCGGCCTCCCCTCCAGAATGGCCCGATCCCTCCCTTTTATACTCTAAGGGAGGACGGGACCCGCATGCAGTGCTACATAGCGCTTCAGTAAATGGGGTGGCGTGTCCGAGAGCCCTGTAGTCGACCCTTTGTTGCGGTATGGTCGATGGAGTGGCCCGTCCTTGTCGTGCGGAAGTGACATCTTTGGTCATACTCGGTCTTGTGCGTCCGTGGGGCTCGATGACGGCTTGATGCGAGGACATGGCGGGCGACGTCTTTGGTCGCCGCCGTAATGGCGTCGAGGGAGCAGCGGCTCTGCAGCCTACCGAGGCCGAGCCATCGTGGGGGCTCGGTGGTCATGGACCCTCAGCCGCCGAGCCCGTGAAGCAAACTGTCGAGGCCTTGGGGGAGTTATTGGCCAGGTGCGATTCCGAGGCCACGATAGCCAGACGTGGCTCCCCATGCTGCGTTGTCCTTGGAGCAGGAGTTGGCAAAGACTGAGTGAGGCATGGGTGTCAACCATGTGCACGGTGGATAGCATAGTGACGGGTAACCCCGCCTTGATCCGGGGGACGTGTGGTCATCGCGTGATGACGCGTCGTGGGGGGTGTGGCTCAGAGGTGCCGAGGCCAAGCCATCTGGGGGCTTTGGCGGACATGGGTCCTCGGGAAATTTGTCGAGCCCCGGAGCAAGTTGCCGAGGCATTGAGGGAATTATTGCTCCTGATGCGATTCCGAGGCCACTGATAGCCAGATGTGGCTCCCCATGCTGCGTTGTCCTTGGAGCAGGAGTTGGCAAGATGTGAGGCATGGGTGTCAACCCATGTGCACGGTGGTTAGTACTGATGGCGGGTAACCCCGCCCAGCCCCGCCTCCCCGTCCCATCGGCCATTCTCACTGTCATTGTGCTTGCATGTGCATGTTGTCGGGAAAGTAGATTGGCTGAGTTGATGCGACCACGACGTTTTTGCGGAGGGACGGGAGAAGGAAGAGGTAGCGGAGTGCTACCGAGCCCGCCTTTTGAGCGAGACGGGGTCGGTGGCCTCGGCCGAGGCCTTTGGCGGGGAATCGACCGAGGCCCGTGGTGAGGGGGGCCTCGGGCGAATCGGAGAATCTACCGAGGTCCCATGGTGATGGGGCCTCGGGCGAGTCGGAGAATCGGGTGAGGTCCCATGTGATGGGGCCTCGGCGAGTCGGAGAATCGGCCGAGGCCAGCAGCGTTAGCTGGTTTCGATCTTTACGAAATCTAAGCGATCGTTTTTGGATCTTGCTTAGGGTACCCTTCTCATGGTATAAGCGGTTACTCATATCGAAACTCGAGATCGTCACGTTCTCGGACGTCTGCTGCGACATGACCGCCACCACGGCGGCGTTGCGAACTCGACGGCTGCCTCGAAGCCGCCGTCGCCACGGCCTCCGACGCCCTCGCCGCCTCGAGCTCCTTGGATCGACTCCACGACCCTCCGCTCAAGCTGCTTGCGCGATCTGCGCGCCGGCGGTGTCGCGTCCTCTCTCTCGACGACTGGTTCTCCGGCTCCATTAACGCCTCTCCTTCTCCACGCTTTGCCTTCTCCTCATTTGCCAGAAGGCGGCCGGCCGATACTTCAGCGAGCACCGCCTCGACCCTCTCGTCCGTGGCCGTGGCGGCGTCAACAGGGCTCTCGCCCCGAGAAGCTCTGGCGTTCACCTGCCGCAGACCTGCTACCGCCCTCTCCTCCGCTTTCGGCGAGCCCGGTCGATTTCTCGGTGACACGTGCTGCGTCTCCATGCAAGATGCGTTCCACGGAGCCGGTGAACGGGCTCCCTCTTCCTTGATGGACTCGGCTCTATCTCTCGCCGAGGTCGGCTCGGACTCCGCAGCTGCGGTGACGAAAGCGGTCGTCGTGTTCGTGCTCACCGTGTTGCACAATCGTCGGTCGCGGACTCGGCGTGGCCCGTCCGCTCCGTCGTGGGCGCCACCGCCGTGTTCGTGGACTCGAGTCCCACGTCGTAAATCGCCGCCGTGGCGAACTCGTCGTTAGGGTCGCCGCTCGAGGCTCTCGCTCTCTCTCGGCAAAGACGCCGTCGGCAAGCGCCTCTTTGGCTGCGCCCCGCGCGGAATCCGCCCGGGCCACGGCGAGCTCCGCCAATGCCACGACCACGCTCCTCCTCGTTTTCCTCGCCGGCCTCTCGCTCAATGCCATCGAGCGACACGCGAACAGGGCTCATCCTCTAGGCGTCGGCGTCTCGCGTCTCCGTCGGCCTCGGCCTTGGCCTCCCTCGTGGCCTTTACCTCATGCCTGCAGCTCCCAGAGCTCCCTCTTGACGCGGTTCAGCTCCTCAGATCACCTCGACGAAAGCGGCGTGTTGCTCTCGATCCCGGCCGATCGGCGCCCGGTGCCTCGGCGCCCACCACCGCCCCCGCTTCTTCCTCCTGCTGGCGGCATGTGTTCTTTGAGCTCCGACCGTGAGAAGACCTCGCCGTGGCATTGGCACCGCTCGATCTGCCGCTCCAGTTCTGTGCCATGCCGGTTGCCCTCGACAGCTTCGGACTCGGCGTGCCACGCTCTCGCTCGTAATGACCTCATATTGGTTCACCCTCTCAGCCGGGTCTCTCGCCGGTGAGTCGTTCGCGGTGAGAATTTCTACATGCGCCACGGCCGATGTCAAATCTGACCTGAGCAAGACAAATCGGGTATGGCGTCTCGATGCGGGAGCAGAGCACGCTTTCGGTAAAAAGAGGCGGTCACCGGTGGCGGCGCGGATCTCGCCGCCGGCGTGATGTGGCAGCGAGGGGGCCACGGCCACGGGGCGAGGTAGGTCGCCGGCAGGTGGTGAGCGCCGAGCAGAGCCTGCAATGGATTGTGGCGCAACGCATGCAGCGACGAGCGGGGGCTTCGTCCTACGCCCCTGTGGAGCAGCCGGACGCCTTGGCCGCCGCACTGTCAGCCGACCGTGGACTACCTTCAGAAGACAGATCAGCGACACCGTGGACTGTCACGTCAGATTAAAAAGATAAACGAAGGGGTATGGACTAGAGATGCACCGCTTCAAAAGTTCGTGATCTGAAAAAAACACTTTCGTAGTTGATGGACCTAAGTGAAACATGGATAAAAGTTAATGGACCAACGATGCATTTAACTCTTATTTTATTACATCTGCATTTGGTGATTGTTGGACGTACATGTACATACACCTTCCACGGTCGCTGCGTCGTCGTCGTGGTTGAGGATCTTTATTTATTTTCTACTTCCTCCATGGAATAACTCTTGCACTACCGTATTGAGAAATAAAGCAGTTCAGTAAACGTAAGACGGAAAGGAGCGCCGTGGACGTGGGATCCGAACGTGGCCGCATCGATCCGGGTCTCGTTTCGTACGAGCGGGGGAGCAGACGATAAGCATAAGAACTTTTTAGGTGTAATAATAGATAAGTAGCAAAAAAAAAAAAAGCGGAAGAATCGAAACAAATTAGAGTCGAACTTGGAGTTCATGTTCAACATACCCTGGAATTCGACCGATTCAATTCCAATCCTATTTCGATTCTGATTTGCTCAGCCAAAACCTCGCCTTGTGCCGTTGCGCCTCCGCGGCTTTGCGCGGCGCCGCCAATGCCAGCTAACGCGGCGGGCTGGGCAGGCAGCGGCGCAAGAGCCGCCCGCACATCGGCGTCCATGCCTGAGTTGGACGCAGCGACAGCGGCGGGGCGTAGCCAGCGTACGCGTAGCAAGCACGGCGATACGGGAAGCGCTCGACCGCGGAGGAGGCTCGCGTCGACGGCGGCGATTTTTTTTCTTTTTAACGAGAGGAAGACCGGACGGGATGACGGGGACGGGAGTCACGCCGTCACGGGGAGCGGGCGTGAGCCAAGGAATCGGTACAAACTCTGTTCGGAGCCAAGGAAGGCAGCCAAACATAATTACTATTGGGAGGAATAAGTACCGCTTTATTCGTATATCAGATTAATCGGTACAAACTCTGTTCGGAGGAAAAAACAGCCAAACATGTCGCCCTACCGATTCATAAATTGAGCTTTTAGCTATGAGCATTGAGCATCTTCAAGAGCCTTTCCAAATCTCCCTCTTTAAATTATCATTTAGAGAGCAATTTGCATAAAAATCGTTTTCTATATCTTTTCATTCTCCAACAGTTTTTTATATCTCATACGCATTCTAGAGAGCCATTTTTGTCTTCTATTGTTTGCTAGCAAAAATTCGAAATAGAAAATAACTATATTTAAATGACTATTTGAGAATATTTTTCACTAAAATCTATATTGCTCACACTTAAGAACGATACGGAGAGTGTCTTTAGACATCCTCTCACCGTTCGAGTTCCGACGACCTATCAACGCAAAGCTTGCACTTGGACTAGCCGACTTTACACAAAAGACCCGAGAGCCAGCTGCACCGGCCCAGCCCATTAAAAACTCTGACAGGCGCGACGGCGCAGCCTCATCATAGGCACTTTCGTGGTTTCTTCGATGAAAATGCGCACGCTTTGGTGAGTTTCGTCTAGAAATCCCGCCGGCCTCGGCCGCTTTCCTCCTTCCAGTCCCCCGCCCGCCTGCCGCTCCGATGACGCGATGAGAGCTGAGACTTAAGAACTCCAAGTTGGACGAACCGTTTGACCGAATGCTACTCATCTCCGCTAAACAAAATCATTCCAGCGCTCGAACACCACCTTTTGGGCGGCTGCGCCCAAACTCCCCCCACCCATCCGGCCATCCCCAAAGGCTCTTCCGATCTGATTCCGAGCCCCGCCAGGCGGGCGCCAGCCATCTCCCGCTGCGTCGCACGTGCGCCCCACCCCATACTCGCGCTCCCCGTCCTCTCGAGCCGCGATCCCATCCGGCGGCCCCGATGCGGTCGCCGGCGCTCCTGGTCGCCGGCCTCCTCGCGGCGGTGCTCCTCGCTGCCGGTGCCGGGGTCGGGGTCGCGGCGGCCGCGACGGAGGAGGCCTACGTCACGCTGCTGTACGGCGACGAGTTCGTGCTCGGCGTGCGCGTCCTGGGGAAGTCCCTCCGCGACACCGGCACGCGGCGCGACATGGTCGTGCTCGTCTCCGACGGCGTCTCCGAGTACTCGAGGAAGCTCCTCCAGGTCTGCGGAAGCTCCGATCGTTATTAATTTCGTCTGGTTATTTTGTCTCTTTGGCGAACTGAGTACCTCCCTGAAGTGTCTGCGCTGGAGTGCTTAGCTGCGCGGGGTTATTGTTGAGGCTGGTGATGCTCATTTTAGAGCTGCTCACTGATCTCGCTGCCCAATTGGTTAGAATTTTGGGGAAACTTCTATTGAATTTTGTGTCACAAGTGCTGTGGAGCTGGATGAGGATCTCTCCTTTGTTCCTATTGATTTCATGATGTGATCCCCGTACATCAACACATACTTTTATCATCTAAAAAACATCAACACATACTAAAATTAGTTTCAGGACATTAGTAGCATTTATGTTTCCTTGAGTTTGGACATTCAAGTCATGTAGATCTTGTGCCAGTCTGATCTGGTAGCGAAGCTGACCTTGCGTATATTTCATCAGGCAGATGGTTGGATTGTGAATCGTATAACATTACTGGCTAATCCTAATCAAGTTAGGCCAAAGAGGTTTTGGGGTGTCTACACCAAGCTAAAGATATTTAACATGACAAGCTACAAAAAAGGTATGGTTTTCAGTGTCTTTTCTAGCTCATCGTTTTATCTTTCTGTATCACATGGCTTTGATTTCGTTTTTGTTCATTGTTCTGATAGAATGCTGCTTTCCCAGTTGTTTACCTTGATGCAGATACTATAGTTGTGAAAAGTATCGAGGATCTTTTCAAGTGTGGCAAGTTTTGTGGAAATTTGAAGCATTCTGAAAGAATGAATTCTGGTGTGATGGTTGTTGAACCTTCTGCAACTCTTTTCAATGATATGATCAACAAAGTGGGTCAATTGCCTTCTTACACTGGAGGTCAGTGCTCTTCTTTTCCGGTTCTCTATGTTCCATTTTTTTGTTAACATAATTCCTTTATGAAAAGGCCATAGTACCAGTAGTCACTATTCCCTTTTATTTAGTCTCTTCTGGAAAACATATTGATTAAGATTAATGATAAGCAGCTTTTTAAGTGCATCAAAATATAATAGTACATGTCTAAGAACTTATGATATGATGTTAATTGTTACAAGACATATATTTTGTGGAGTATAGGAAATAGCTAATTATCTTCAAAGACTAATTACATAGCGTTGATAGAATAAGCCATCACTGCTTATAGAACTGGCCTAAGGGCACGGCGGTAAATGAAAGTATGCAAGCACTCTACGGCCTGCCACACCAGCTTCCATGGCGATCTTTCTGCAAGCTTTCCAGTGGCAGCACTTCTTCAGACTTTAGCCCTCTGTTGTGCCATTGATGATGGAGAAACATCATTTCCAGTTATCCAGTCCATGGCTACACATGTACATTTTCATGCTTTAACAGAGCCTACATCCGTTGTTTTTATGCTGCTACGATGGCCACTCCTATCTTCATTTGTTCTCTGTCCAAACAGTTGCTCCAGGCCTGCTGATACCAGACCGTTGCTTTGTTCTATTTCTTTCCAGTGACGCTGAAATCCCTGGGAGCCTGGAATTTTCTCTTGATCAATATCTGTCTTTCCTTGGAATTTTTTAGGACAGAGGGTTAGGGTAAGATGGATCTTTGAAAACAATATTTCACATATCCATTTGACATTTGCTTAGACAGGTCTGTCTTATCTAGAAGACACTTATGTGGTGGATCATTTTGCTAGGGTTGAATGTATTACTTAGAATAGACTGGCTGTAGTTACAAGTTTACCACTTATGTATGGCTTGTTTTCTTTTATTGTTTTCAGCATGTTGGCAATTCAGCATTTTCAGTCCAATAGTTCTGATTTGGATTTTGGACTAATTCATGCAGGGGACCAAGGTTTTCTAAATTCATATTATTCTGATTTTGCCAACTCCCGTGTCTATGAGCCAGACTCGCCTTTAACTCCTGAACCGGAGACACAACGCCTTTCTACCTTGTATAATGCTGATGTTGGCCTTTACATGCTAGCAAACAAGGTAAGGCTTCTTATGTGTAATTGCATACTGATCGGGGCGCTGTGTATTGGCCAACTATCACGATTAAATGGTATATAAAAGCATTGCAATATGTTAACCCACTACATGATTGTTCCATTCACTTGATTTACCATCAGCACTCCTGTTTGTCAGAGCATGCCAACTATCAAGGTTAACTAAAGTTTTGTCAGCCTTGTATGTTGTCAATCTTATGCAAGTTAATCATCAGAAAATCATTATTTTTTTTTGCGAGAGAAAATCATTATTAATTGTATTGACCTTGTTCTGCCAGCCTTATCTAAGGAATATTACATTTAATCTACCTTCTTGCTCTCTCTAAACAGGACCACCCAAAATATGGTTACAAAAGTTTCTATTGCTTGTCTGGACTGTATTAGCATGATCATTTTAGCATTTCGAATTTATTGGAGGTCTTTAGCTTCACAACCCCAAACACCAGCGTTTATTTGTGTTATTACGTTTTGAAATAGTTTGGTCTTCTGTTTAGAGTACATTTTTCAATATTTTGAGTACCCTTTGATTGTTTATTTACATGTACTATAGCTTGGTGCTTGGGCCTGGTTATGGATCTGACTTTCTATTTTCTGTCATAGTGGATGGTTGATGAAAAGGAATTAAGAATCATCCATTACACGCTGGGCCCCCTAAAACCCTGGGACTGGTTCACAGCGTGGCTTGTAAAACCTGTTGAAACATGGCAGGTAATATTTCATTTTATAAACCGTTTCCTCACTTTCATACGCAATTTTCTAAGTAAAAAATAAATGTCAAGCATGTTAGCAATAAATTTATGCTCTCCATCGTTGCAGGATATTAGGCAAAAACTTGAAGAATCTCTTCCAGGAACTGGTGGGGGAAGGAACCCTCGTGACCAGCTGGTTGTCAAAATATTGTTCATTCTCCCATTTTGCTTGCTGTTATTTGGTTATTACCAATCATGTTTTCAGGTTATATAATCTGTTCCTTGTAGAAATTATTTTTATTGAACATTTGTACACACATGAAGGGCGGGCCTGGTGCAAGCGGTAGAGTCTTACCGCCTGTGACCGGAAGGTCCCGGGTTCGAGTCGCGGTCTCCTCGCATTGCACAGGCGAGGGTAAGGCTTGCCACTGACACCCTTCCCCAGACCCCGCACAGAGCGGGAGCTCTCTGCACTGGGTACGCCCTTTTAACATTTGTACACACATGATTTTGAAGATTTCCTGCCTTCTCATTCGTCTATATGATTTTCTGACAGACAAACAAGGAGTTGATAAATATAAGATCACTATGTGCATTTGCTAGAAGAGCTCGCCACAAATACAAGTCTGAAGAGTCACTTCCATCTTATTCAGTGGTGGGTTCATCGTCTGTATTTGGTATTTCAAACCAAAGGGTTAGCTCTCAACCTCTTCAGTGACAAATCTGCATTCCCACTTGAAATTTGCATGCTACTCAATGTTGTCAATGTGCCACCTTTAGGAACAATTATGAAACCTAAATACACTTTGTTTCATATTTTAAGTGCCTACTTCAGTCCTTATTCCACTGGCAGATCTAGCCCAAAGTTTAGGTAGGGCAAAGAGTTGTCATACAAAAGGGATATCATACAGTTGTTCCGTGATACACAACTTTACAAATATAAGGAATTAAGGATATTGCAGATATGGCGACCATACATGTACACTTAAAATTTGGAAAAAGGGGTTGTAAAGAGTTTAGAAAGGTCGATAACATTGAAAGCTGTGCCGTATGTATTCCTTGGCTTGCTTCCTAATTTGAGCTCCAAACGACAATCAGTTTTCTCAAGTTTTATTACATGTGTCAATAGAAGGTACTTAGTATTCCCAACTTTTTCACCAAAGGCAACGATTGCAAGGGAGTTTTTATCACTATGGATCTGTTTGGTTGCCTGCAGTGTAGTTTACTTGTGTTTAGTTGCCTGCAGAGGCTCATGCAGACTTGCACAGTGCTCAAAGCAGGTTTCGTGCAGCATTAGCTAGTATGGCAGATTTTGTGCACAAGCCGATGTGGCACACAAAAATGAAATTTCTCACCTTCCCCACCTCTACTAGAACATGACACAATGTAAGCAATCAAACACAATCTTAAAAGACAGCTTGTGTGTGTAGGACAACTAAACACAAAGACATTGCATATGTTTATGCATGCTTGCAGTGGCGGAGCTTGCATGAATGGGTAGGGGGGGGCCAATTCAAAGCTACCCTGCTACAGTAATTACCAATAGTAGTATAGACAATTGGAATTCTGTGAAAAATCTTTGTTTTTTCAAGTTCTATCTATATAGACTGCAATGAACAATTAGAATTCTATCAAAGAAGAATGAACAATGTACGAATTTACATACTTGTAAGCTGTGATCTACTTATCAGCAACAGCAAGTATGATACGAGAGAGGTAGGAATTAATTGCTTGCATGCAGGACATGCAAACCTCAGCCGGAGCAAGGGGGGGCCAGGACCCAGTTTGGCCTCCACGTAGCTCCGTCCGTGCATGCTTGGGTTGTGCTGCATGCAAGCAACCAATCACACCCTATTTGTACTATCTCCAATTCGCGCTTGAAAAGTTTTCAACTGAAATCAGTATAATGGAGTAAAGACTCGGCATTTTGTCTAATTTTTTCTACTTAAGAAATACATTGGCATTTTCCCTAACTATTCAAGGGCAATGCACCAAACTGAAGAGATTCATTGTCACAACTAGAGACAAAGGCACAAAGCAAGTAGAAGCTTTTACATGTGAGCGTAGCAGAACAAGATGCTATCCTCTTTTGCCTACATGCACACCTTGCGCTAAGGCATGGCTGAGACTCAATTAATAGAATGGAATGAAAGCTATGAGCCAAATTTAGCCATACGGGGGTGCTGGCCGCTGAGGCGCTACTCTAGGGATATCTTTCAAGGCGAGAGCTACAGAGAGAGAAGTGGTTGTGTGCTCAGGCAGTACAACTATACATTTTGGCCCAGGCCCCCAACTCCCCAAGCACACACCCTTCGATTCGCGTGTTTTCTTTTCTCTCATCACCATCATAGTTTTTTTTTTGAAACAATGGTAGGATCTCTGCCTTTCAATTGAGACGAATGAAGTTTATGTACAACAAAGGGTAGCCAAACGTGGTGCCTACCACCACGAAAGGCTAACTCACCCATGCGACGCGGCAGAGTACAACACAGCCGACCCACCCTACGATACCAGACAGACGGGCAGGACTACAGTGGTGCCTACCACCATCATAGCGGTGCGGTCTGGTGCTGCTTCTCCGCCTCCAGTGGTCCAGCCTGGAAGCAGGACTACAGTGGAGAGTGGGGACAGGGCCTTTGGAAAGAAGGGAGAGGGGTGTTACTGGCCGCCAGGCAGCTGGGGCTGCTTCCTGATCCTGTCGTAGGGGCTCCACCTCTGCTTGATTCTAATATTTTTTACTAAACTTGGCTAGGAGGATGTCTTGTTCTATTGGAATTTTTAATTCTGGTTCTTTTGCATCTTTGTATGATCTCCTTACCGAAACATATTGATTATACTATATTATATCGACTTGATGGTTCCTTGGCGTTCCTGCAGTTATCAAATGGAAATTTGAAGCTACCTTCTTATTTTGGGGCAATCGCGGTGCTAGTCTGCTTCATGTCTGCTGGTTTCTCTCTTGAATTTGCTTTCATTATCATTCCACGGCAGGTTATGCCATGGACAGGTTTGCTACTGATGCTTGAGTGGACCTTTGTGGCATTCTTCTTATTGTTTGGGAGTTATCTCCGTTTTGTCTACCGGTGGGGAAGTATCAGTGCAAACCATGTGGGCTTTAGCAATCCTGATGCATCAGAGAATCATATGGGTCCAGGTATGTTGAACTATGTAGCCGCTCAAAGGGTTTCATCATCCTAGTATTAAACAGTTGGTCTTTTGCAGGCCATCAGCGAAATATGTCTGACTGCGACATGGATGCAACATTTTACTGGATAGGGATGGCAACTATAGCTACTATTACTGTATTATTACCAACTATCTTGGGCATAACTGCATTGTTCACAAAGTAAGGCACCTGACTAGCCCCTTTGTATAAACTCCTGGCATATGATTATATGAAGAATGTAGGAAAGACTCAGCTGTAGTAGTTTCTTGAATATGTAGATATAGACCCCGTGTTCATCATTTCCTGTATTATGATGCAAGAGAAGGGGTCTGGAACTTAATATTGGGGATTGAGGCGATCTGAGGGTGTTGGTATGTAGGGTTTGGCCTATGGATGACGGTTAAGGTTGTACTTGTGAACTTAGCACATCATATATTTAGTTAGGGGTCATATGTAATATGCTTAGGACAAACATTACAACCTAGTTTCAGAAGGTGAGTTTGCTTCTTCCATCCTTATATGATGGCTTTGTAGTGTAGAATGCCAAATTCCAGATATTACTTAGATTCTAGCTTATGAATACAACTTGAGTCTAGTAACTAATGCACATAATTCGTCGAAAGGGTTGAGTTATGTTTGCCAGTAAATGATGAGACTTATTTGATTTTTTCATGCAAGTGATGAGTCCAATATGTTCTTTCCTTTGGCAGGCTAGGATTAATGGTCGCTGGTGGTATTGTGCTGGCATCTTTTATGACATATGCAGCGGAGCATCTTGCAATCTCAGCCTTCAACAAGGGTCAGAAAGACAGAAATGCGTCAAGAACTCGAAGCTTTTGTTTTTAACGTTTAAAAAATCCTTGTTGTACTGTAGGTAGGTTTGTACAAAAAAAGAATGATGATTAATTTTTAACACGTGGCTTCCTGCCCATGGCCCCTTTTGTAGCGCTGATGTCACGTTAACTTGTGGTAAATAGGTTTCCGACGTTGTTTCTGTAGCACAGTTGGCATGGAGCTTACAGATCTGCACAGTACATCTTGTTTATATTTCGAAAAAAAAAAACATCATCTTGTTTGTAGAAGCATTCACGCAATTTGTTTGTTATATGTAGTACGTATATTGCTCATTACTCTAGTGTGTTACTGTGATGGCAGTTTTCTGCAAGAACATAAATTGATCGTTGGTTACAAGTAGAATTTTGGAATCGTGGCCCGCTTTTACTCGCTTATACTGATGTTAATGGAGACGTTGTAGTATTATTAAAAAAAAGGGACGTTAAAAATGGATCAAGTGCGGGTACCATCACAGACCTGAAAGTTAACTGCATATTTTTTTTTTATCATGTCAATTTCAGTAGCTTTTTCATAGTAACATCACCAAGCTATTATACACCCTCTCCTTCCAAAACAAAAAACAATTCTAGCTTTCTCTCAAATTAATCCATATCAAATTTAATAAATATAATATTAAAAATACAAATATTCATCCTACTAAATAATTATTATCAGATTTATTATAGAATATATTTTTGTAGTGTATATCCATATCTAGTCATAAATGCTGACATCATTTCATATAAACTAATAAACTTAGGGCACATGGCTAGTTACTGTTAAAGCTAAAAATTAGTCTAAATTAGTCGTGGTTGGCTAGCTAGTTGGCTAACAACTAGTTGAAGACTTAGCTAAAAAATTAGCCTAGCTATTAGCCCTCCTGTTTGGATGTACTTAAGTTTTTTTTTGGCTAATTTTTAGCTAGTTAGCAATTAACTTGGTATCCAAATAGAGCCTTAAAAAAGCAACTCAAGCTAAATTTAAACGTGCATCTGCATTTTTTTTTTGACAGAGATAGTATTATCAAACTATTTAGTATTTTTGTATAAGATGAAACTATGTAGTTGCCGAAGACCTTTAGAACCTAGCAGTTAGGTAGTTAACTAGTTATAACAATTGGTTACAAAAGATAAGCTGATATGATCTCGATGTCTATTATAGTTAAAAAAAGGATACGAGCCCATAAGATCTCGATATCTGCTTTACTAGAGTGACTAGAACCATATCCCGCGCATTGCTGTGGTAATTACGGATTAATGGATTACGTGGTATGATGACGTGGACAACAACCTTGCTGACGTGGCCATTACAATTATATGTGTTAGTAGATTTTAATTGTACATGATAGTGCATTGCCTAGTTGCACAACTTGCATGAGTTGCTTAGTGAATTTTAATTGTGTGTGGTAGCGCATTGCCTAGTTTAACAGCTTGTATGTTGAGATAAATAGCTAGTGTGGTTTTGCTTTATAAGAGTATGAGTTGAGATAAGATTTGCATGATAAATAAACTGACCAGAGCACCATGATAAATAAACTGACCAGAGTACCGCACTAAAGCCAGTTGTGTGAAATGTAAAAAGCCCAGATTCTTTGCAGCACTCGCGTACCGGTTCGGCCTGCTTATATCGCTGCTTATATCGCTGCATTATCTTATCTTATCTTATCATCACATCATCAGTGCACACCGGTTCGGCCTCCGTTGTCCGTTACCGTCACGTACGGGGGAGTGGGGACTGGGGACATGCGTGGCCTCCCGGCGCACATGCGTGGTCCCGCTCCCGCGATTGCCGATTGGCCGGAGCTCGGACTCGGAGGCCCGGACGCTGGAGTCTGGACGCGCCCCCGTGCAATTGCAGCCTGTTCGCTTGCTCGTAAACGATCGTAAATTTCCAGTCAGAAACAGTGTTTTTCTCTCACACTAAACCAGCCAGCAGTAAATAATCCACGATACGATACGACCTCCCGAACAGGCTGTGGTCGCCAGTCGCCGCCCGTACCGTACCTTGGCTGTCCTGGAAGGCCCGGGCCCACTGGCCACTAGTGTGGCATAAAACGGCCGAAACGTTCCCCAAAGAGCCAGAGGCGTTACGGTTGAGATTCAGGAGAGGAGACGAACACATCTGCAGCTCCGAATCGAGTGGGAATTCGAGGGTTCTTCTCTTTACACGGGCCCCGTTGGGTGTCTTGTTTCCGAGGGGGCCCACTGGGGTTTGGAGCGGCATACACGGGCGGGCTGTGTTGAGGTGGCTGGTTGGGTGCTCCGGAAGGAGTGTGTGGTTATAAGGCCTGTTCGTCGGGTGATTTCTGGACTAGTTTGGACTGGCCGGTGCTGGTTCGCTGTGAGAGGAAAACACTGTTGGCTGGCTGGTTTGGGCTGGCTGAAACCAACAAGCAAACAGGCTGATAATAGTTCAACCAAAACGGGGACAAAAGACCTAGAATTGAAACCCAAACAACCTGAACCAAAAGTTTGAGTCCTGTACTGTTTCAGCGAAGGAACAATATTTTTCTCTCGTAACAAATCAGCGAACAGTACTTTCAGCCATGGCTTTTCAGTGAAGCGAACATGGTCTTGGTTTCTTATTCGGTTCCAGCTCTCGATTAACTGAATAACTGAAAGACCGAAATACATGAATTATACTTCACTTGTATTTTTGTAAGACTATGTCTGATTTATGTGTGATGTCTCATATATTAAATTGTTGTATATATTTGTGCCACTATATTTGCTATTGTTACTTTATCAATTATTATTATCTAAAATATAGGTAGTGCTGCTAAATTTTGCTTCAGTATATGTATGTTTTTTTTTTGGTCTTTACCTCTACTGAAAAAATTAGGTTAGTTTGGTTAGAATTGGAACTGAACTATAATGCTCTGTTCCTGAATTTTTAGAACTGATCGGTTTGCATTTTGTAGGTACCGAATTCTTCAAAAAAGACAAGAAACCGAATGCCCACCCCTACTCAAGTGCTCACGGACTAACAGTGGATTGAACAAAAAGCTAATTGAGCTGGCTCAGTGACTCCTCTCAAAAGTGCTCTGATTGAACTTGTTTTTTTTTCTAATGAAAATTTTTGATTTTAAATGACTTTCAACTTCGGCTCAGCTCATTAAGCTCGGCTGAAGTTGGGTCTTAAATAATTCAGGAGACTATGATAAATAAGATTATACGAATTTTGAATAGCTTTCATGGGGATTGTCTGCTTCGGATTTCGAACGTCGCTTTCATTTGCTGAAATGCTAGCAGGTATGCGTAGAGAAGCTCTTCACTTCTTCAAATTTTTACACTAAAAAACTTCCCAATGTCTATATTTTAGTGTAAAAATACTGAGTAGATATTCGTTGTGCCCATCTTAACATTCAGATCAAAATCGTATTCAAGCTTTTTTTTAAAAAAAAAAAAACTTGTGGACAAATAGGCCCGTGATTGGAATATGGCTCAATTAGGGCCTCTTTGGTTCCTTCTCCTCCTCCTAAAATTCCTGTCACATCGAATGTTTGGACACATACATGGAGTATTAAATATAGACTAATTATGAAACTAATTGCACAACTTGCGACTAATTTGCGAGACGAATCTTTTAAGCCTAATTAGTCCATGATTTAACAACGTGGTGCTACAGTAACATGTGCTAATGATAGATTAATTAGGCTTAAAAAATTCGTCTCGGATATTAGCCTCCATCTATGTAATTGGTTTTGTAATTAATTTATATTTAATGCTCCTTATTAGCCTCTAAACATTTGATGTGACATAAATTTTAGGAGTGCCTAAAGAACCAAACACCCCCTTAGCATTATGAATGGGATGTGTGGGCACCGACATGGACTACTAACTACTGCTTCGTTTCCGTTTCGAATTGTATGCTCTTTTGGCTTTCTAAGTACACAGTTCTTATTATATATCTAGATATATATTGTCTATATACATAATAAAAGCTATGTATCTAAAAATGTGAGAACAACTAAAATTTAGAATGTAGGTATAGTATTAAGTACTCCCTTTGTCACAAAAATATATCTCACTTTTAAAAATGAACTAATAAATATACAAAATACTACTCTGTTTATTCTAAATTATAAGATGTCTTGACATTTTTAATTACATTGCGTTTACTATGTATTTAGACATGGTGTATATATAAATACATAGCAAAAGCCATATATATCTAAAAATCAAAACATCTTATAATTTGGAATTGGCAGAGTACTATTTATAATTCTTAATAAATATTAGATTATTAATAGTAGAATATATATATAGAAAGAAAGATATTGATCCTATCTTTTATAATCTATTTAAATCTAAGAAAAATGATTTTTTTAAGAACGAGATGTATATTTATTTTTAAAAATAAATGAAGGAGGGAGTAACGTTACAGGAGCAGTCTAGGGACATCCGAATATTCTGGAGAGGGTGCGTGCGAGGCGCCGTTAAATAGTCGGGCTCCCCACCTGCTGGTATGGAAGTATCCCGAAGAAACGAACGGACCGCGAAAACAGATCTATGAGTGAGCAACTGAAGCGCGACTACGAGATCGGCGAGGAGATCGGCCGCGGGCGGTTCGGCGTGGTCCACCGCTGCGTCTCCCGCGCCACGGGCGAGCCCTTCGCCGTCAAGTCCGTGGACCGCTCCCTCCTCGCCGACGACCTGGACCGCGCGCTGGCCGAGCTGGAGCCCAAGCTGGCGCGGCTGGCGGGCGGGGAGGGCGACGAGAACCCGGGCGTGGTGCAGGTGCGCGCCGTGTACGAGGACGACGCCTGGACTCACACCGTCATGGACCTCTGCACGGGGCCCGACCTGCTGGACTGGGTCCGGCTCCGGCGCGGCGCGCCCGTGCCGGAGCCCGACGCCGCCCGCGTCGTCGCGCAGCTCGCCGAGGCGCTCGCATGCTGCCACCGCCGCGGCGTCGTCCACCGCGACGTCAAGCCCGACAACGTGCTCCTGGACCTGGACCCCGCCGGCGAGGCGCCCCCGCGGGTGCGGCTCGCGGACTTCGGCTCCGCCGCATGGCTCGGCTCGGGCGCCGGCGCCGGCGAGGGCGAGGGCGGCGCACGGGGCCGCCGCGCCGAGGGGCTGGTGGGCACCCCGCACTACGTGGCGCCCGAGGTGGTGGCCGGCGGCGAGTACGGGGAGAAGGTGGACGTGTGGAGCGCCGGGGTGGTGATGTACGCGCTGCTCTCGGGGGGCGCGCTGCCCTTCGGCGGCGAGACGCCTGCGGACGTGTTCGCGGCCGTGCTGCGCGGCAGCCTCAGGTTCCCGCCCGCGCTGTTCGCCGGGGTCTCGCCGGCGGCCAAGGACCTGATGCGGCGGATGATGTGCCGCGACGTCTCGAGAAGGTTCTCCGCCGAGCAAGTCCTCAGTAAGTCGTCGGATCTTTGCGTTATCTCGATTTCGTGCTGCTGCGTTGAATATTAGATTAGATTCGTCTTCTTTCCTATAGATTATTGAATCACAATCCTATTGGACGCTAGCACAGATCATGTGCCTTATCTAACATCCGCGGTTTCGTCGGGAAAAAAAAATGCAGGGCACCCGTGGATCCAGAGCGGAGGGGGAGTCCGAGAGGTGGTGCGGCCAACCTGAGGAGCCCCAGTCCTCAGGTTTCGAACGAGACCCGAACCGATCGAGTATCATCGTAGCGATGCGGTGTGTAGTTCCGACGAGTTTTGTGCAGAAGACGCCTCTGTATATCCAGCAAGTACGCGGCGGCGGCGAGGGGTGACTGGAGATCGTCGCTTCGCCGCGCGGCGCCCGGGTGTGTGTGTGTGTGTGACGGTGACCTGGGCCGTTTTCCTATTTTGCTTTTCGGGCCTTTTTTTTTTGGGACATGCTTTTCGGGCCTTTTTCTGGCCGTCCTCTTTGCTTGAGAGTAAAATGTAGTGCGACGATGATGTATGCACGTCGGTCTAGTCTAACCGTGCATGTGTTATGTGTACAAATGCATAAGTGTTGGTTTGAGCTTTCTCGATAATCTGATCAGTGTTGGTTGTGGGTCAGTAGTATTAGTTTCGAACAAATTCCGATGATACGATGATAACATATCCGAGACATGGGCCCTATTTGCTTGAGCTTATACAGAATTATTCAGAACCTACTTTTCAGTGATGAAACATCGTTTTTCACCCTCAACATTTCATAGGATGATGGTGAGTTGGTGACCCACTCCTTTATCGGTGGCTCGTAGCCAGCCATTGCAAACGCTTTCAGGCTTATCCGTTTCGTTACACTCGAGTGCAAATGAGATCGTCCGTTAGGTTGCTAAAATAACGAAGTGTTGGCAGCAGTGATTTACCTATTACCTTGTTCTCACCATGAAATGGTGGATGGAACCTGGCACCGCGGAATCACTCGACCTCGATTGCTTAGGTTTGGTTACCTAGGCTGTAATACCTCTGTTTTTCCATCGGTTAAGGGTATGTTTGGATTGCAGGAAAAAAATCATGTCGTTGCGTTTTTCATGTGAAATTGAACTGATTCCTGTGAAATTCCTGCATTCCAAACAAGCCCTAGACAATTATCAGTGGTGTCTCGATGTCAACTTCTAACATCCTCTCCCATTTCCACATCTCTAGCCTCCGTCCCCGCCACCGCCTGCCAGCACACCGCCATCAAGAAGGGGTAAGGGAGGACTGCGTGTACCTCCAATTTCTGGGGATGGATATATAGAAAAATCACAGGATTACCATTGTACTAAACTTGCAATCTTATATGAATCTATAATGCAGGAAAATTTCTAATATAGGCTTTGGATAGAACATAAGAAAAATACAAGAACCAGAAGAGAGAGACACAAAGAAAAGTTTCCACGAGGTTCGATCTCATGTTAGTTTTCTTCCAAAATTCCTATGTTTTCATGTGTTCCATGGCAATCCCAAGAAATTTCATAGAGTCCAATCCTTTGTTCTAAAGAGGTGTATAGGAAACTTTCCTATAGAATTGAAAACCTCTAAAATTCCTATATGTTTCCTTTGATCCAAAGGAGGCCTAAAAGAGGAATATTTATCTCTGAAGATGACTTCGCAAACAACGGGACAAAATTATATATTCCACTTCGGCGACTATTCTTAAAAAAACTATATATATCCTAGGTGCTTGATTTTTTTGTTGTTGTTGTTGTTCAAGCAATATGTAATTTTTTTCATTGTTTATAGCTATAAAAAAATTATACATTGCCCCTTGTGACTCGTTTTTTTCTCACTCCATCCTGATAAAGTGATAAGCAACGCGGATAGAGACGGGAGGAAGCGATAAGAGGCGCCCTCCTACCCGCGTCGCGCGCCTTATCACCACCTTCCGTGCTTGCCTCGTGATATTCGCTCCCGGCTACCCGCTACCCCCGCGTTCCTCACTCTGAAGTCTGGAGGAATCCTGTGCCGTGGACCTTACCGGACGGCATATCCTCGGTTTATCCGCCGGTCTCGCCTCCGGACGAACCGTACCACCGTCCGGGTCCGGCGCACCCAGCTGCTTCGATCCGCTTTGTTCAGAGCTTGCTTGGTTTGCAAGCGATCCGGCGGAATGGAATCCACACGAGAAGTCGGCAGTGGTATAGTACTGGTATAAGCGGATAAGCCGGAGAAGATGCCCTCGTTGGAGGCTTCAAGGCTCGCGCGAATCTCACTGATCAGTGGTCACTGCAGCTTTGAGGGGCGGTTGCTTCATTGGTTGTGTTTGTGCTGACGTTTAAAAAGACCTGATACGAACTCTTCCTTATTGGCCTGGCTTCTCTTATCTGGGCCATAGAGCACGGAGTACGTACTCTATATATATATATGTAGTGGGGGGAGAATGTGATACCTGTGCAGTTATATGGGCACCGATCCGCCATCGGCATGGGGACCCTCGAACAACTGTTTCGACCATCCCTTCTACAGAGGCACCTTAAGATATGGACAGTGCAGAACGGGTGGGCCAATTACATTTCTTTCTATGTCCCATTACACTTAAATAGTTTCAATAGTTGGTAGCAATGTTAATATCCGTAATAATTAGTTATTACATTAGATATCCATCACATTTTTAAATTTTTTTGCTTATCTGATTATAGAAACAATTATAAATTATTAATTGTCGTCATGCCAACATAAATTGGATTTTATCGAGTTTATGGTTTTATCTAATGGTTTTTTTTATTCTTAGAACAAAAAATTACATATTATGCCTACGAAAATTATAACAAACTAAAGCTATAATATTAATATAAAAGTTATACAATACCCCCTCCGTCCTGGAAAACATGCAATTCTAGCATAGTGTCACGTTTTAGTATCTTAAGTTTAACCAATTATAGATAAAAAAATATCAATATTTATGATATCAAACCAATATCATTAGATTAATTATAAAATGTATTTTCATAATAAATTAATTTAGAGCCATAAATATAAATACTATTCACTAGAAACTTGGTGAAACATGAACTATTTTTTCTAGCACGCAACTCATAGTTGCATGTTTTTATAGACAGAGGGGTACGTGGCGACTATGAAAAAAAAACTAGAATTCAGATACCCAATTTTTAGCAACTACGTACTCCGTACCATAAAAATAATCAAGGACCACGGCGTTTCACTGCATTGAAACCCGAATCCCCACCGGCAGCATCCGGACAACATGTACAGCCAGCCAGAGCCCAGACACATGTTACCTACCTGCCCGCCACGTCCCGACGGGTACCATCACATGGTGCTGTCTCCTTTCTGCAGGCTGTTCAGTGTTCACTACTCGCGGTGTCGCGGCTGCACCGTTCGTGGTCCACCGTGGCTGCATGTCCATGCCGGACGAGCAATTCTGCATAGACGTGTCGGTGGTGCTGCGTTCGTGGCCACCACCCACCAGTAAGATATGAGGCTGCTGCTGCTGCTGCTTTGCTACTCCGAGAGCGCTAGCTGATGGGGATCCTCGGATAGCTGTAGGTTATCAGGAGCAAACTACAGAGAAATAAAATGAAGCTCTCCTCTGATGGAGTCTTTTCTTTCTCCATATTACTAGCCCATATCTTGGTTGCCCGACCAGATAAAGAGCGTTCTACTTACTTTTTGGGAACACATCAACAAATCTATACTACTCTAGATTTGATTAAAAATAAAGTTGGATAATTTGTCCTGACCAACTGGGTAAAGATTTGGTGGGTGCATCTATTACGCCTCCTGATTGATGGCGACCTTACACATACTCTGTCTGTCCTAAAATAGAAGTCATTCTCACTTCCCGAGAAATCAATTTTTTTTTTAAACTTTGATCAATTATATATAAAAGAATATTAATAATTATAATACATACTCCCTCCGGTTCTCTAAAGCAAGTCGTTTTGGACATCGACACAGTCTTTAAGAAACGACTTTGACCGCTACTTTTGCTATAAAATATTTATAAAATATAGTCAATATATACTTTTATGAAACTACATTTCGAGATGAATCTACTTACATCACTTTTATATTTTCAAACTCAACCCAAAAGAAATTATTTGTAGTCAAAGTTTAAAATGTTTGATTTAAGACAACCTCAAAACGACTTGCTTTAGAGAACCGGAGGGAGTAATTACTATCATTAGATATATCGTTGAATATACTTTCATAATAAACTTATTTGGAGATATAAATGTTACACGTATTTTCTACTAACCTAGTCAAAGTTGAGAAAATTTGACATGCACGCATCCCATAACGTCATCTATTCTGGGACGGAGGGAGTACTTTAGTTCGTGGCAGAGTTTTTTTTTCTGTATATTATATCTCTCTCCTCAATCGCAAGATCTAGAGCAGATAGTAAAACACTGAATGAAACTGGAATTACCTTGAGTGCTAGGAATTTCTTTGAGTGCTAAAACAAAAACCCTGAAGAATATATGCCCTTTGGCAAATTAAGTATGGTTCTAATTTTCTTGGCGGTCAGCTTCTAAGGAAATCATCCTTAGTGCCAAAACCACCAAGAAAATTATTTTCCCTTATCTCTTATTTTTGAGTGAGTTTGCTTGACGGTTTGTGGCCAATGATCATTTCCTTGGCGGTTTAAGCCCTTTCCTTGACGGTTTTTGGCACTCAAGACAATTCATGATTGTGTTAGTGAAACATGTATGGTGTGATGCATCATGCATGCATGTTGTTGAGTCTTCGCTCTCAGTCCATAAAAGAATGCAACTATAGTCTTGTTTGCAACTTAGGGGTATTTGGATCCAGGACCTAATAATTAGCCATTATGAGCTAATAAAAGCTAACGAGGGCTAATTGGTGGTGGAGTCCATTAGCCCATAATAGCTCTTGTTTAATCTATTTTCATAGTGGACTAATTTTTAGTCCTGTGATCCAAACAGGCCCTTATAATCGCTTCGATTATAATCATCATATTGCAAGGAATTTTTTTCGATTCTCGATTTTTGATTGTGCTAGTTCAAAGTTTTGAAACCGGCGGTCAAAAGAATCAGAAATAATTGAAGTGTTTTGTGGTATTCTCATTTTTTCTTTCACCGAGAATCGAATTATAAGCGGAAACAAACAGGACCTACAGGGTTTGTGTCAATCAAACTAGTTTAAGCTTGACTAAATTTATAATGAATAGCAGAATAGTATTAACATTTACATCTCCAGTTTACTATAAAAAACATACTCCATAATTAATTTAATAATACTTATTTTGCATCATGAATGTTAGCATCTTTTTATATAACTTGAGTCAAAATTCAAACTATTTGACTCGCCTAGGATTCCACCTGTCGATCCTTTTTTATGTGTAGTTTTCACTTCTCGAGAAATCAAACGTACTCAACTTTAACGGAATATATATAAAAAAATATAAATGTTTATAGTACATAGTTATCATTTGATAGATATTTGAATCTGGCTTTATAATATTTTTTAAAATATAAATATTTTAATTCTTTTTTCTATATGCCAAATCAAACTTAAAAGGTTTAACCAGCACGCTTCTCACGACGACACTTAATTAGCGATAGAGGGAGTCCTACGTACGATCTTTTGGCTGTTCTCGCAGGACAAGGATGATGAGTCGTGGCACGTCAATTACTGATTACTGACGGGTACTACTACTCATCTGGGACAAGTTCACACGACACGACTTGTCGGTGTGGCATTGATTGATCCACGTACGCAGGCACACATCAGAAGCCGAGCACTACTGTCTACTGCTTCATGCTTGTGCTTGTTTGCTTGCGCTACTCCGCTTTCTGTTGGAAGCGAACACCGTTTTGTTGATCTCTTCAGACGAGCTGGACAACGAGACAGATATTAGGATATATACGTAGTACATACATACATACTCCTAGGTCCTAGCCTATGTGCGTTTGACGCGTTTCGGTTGATTGTGCTTGGAAATATTGGGTCGATCTCTTTGAGGGAACCGGACAAGAAGGACGCCAGCCACCAGGCGGCGATCATCGATCGATCAGCCTCCTCCAGTCGACGCGTCAGCAGCATCTTTTCGGCAGCGTGCGTGGCGACGACCCCTGGCCTGGTGCACGCGACGCGAGCACGCGACGGTGACGGCTCGGCCTCGCCGGCACCACGGTCCACGGCACGATCGGGAGGGGAGGAAACAGCCTCGGTAGTCGTACTCGAGCGGCAGCGCGGCGCCCCCGCCCGCGCCCGCAGCCCGGTAGACAACTGGCCGGGGCGCGGATAGAGGTGCACCCGCCTGCTGTCTGCACGCGCGTGCGATGCAGAAGCGAGAACGTAAAACAGCTTGAATCCACTGCATCCAGATCGGATGAAAGAGCGGGGGAAGTGGACGACGGAACCACATCAGAAACCTGCTGCTTGCCTGTTGCCTCAAGGTCTTTTTCCTCTTCTGTTCATCATCTCAATTGTGATTGTTGGGACACGGTTACAAGCCGCGGAGGCTAGAGTTCACAACGACGGTAAGAACTAACAACTTTCCAAGTTTCATGGGCAACTTGCAGAGAAAGGAGACGGAGACCTCCGCTCGGCCGGTAGCTCCGGGTGAAGGCATCAAAGGAGACCTCCGCTCCGCCGGTCACTCCAAGCGAAGACATGGAGGTTGCAGCGAAGGCTCCACCAATATGGGCGGAGACCACGGTCCGGGTGACGACAGTGGAGGTCCCGGCGAAGGCACCCCAGGCGGAGGACTCGGAACTGGCTCGACAGTAGCACTGGCCCATGGGCCGATGGTGGGCCGTCGGCAGTGGCCCGACGTGTAAGGGCGGTTGAAGAAGAAGGCACCCATAGTACCCCTAGTGGCTTGTATTGGCATAAGAATATTCCAAGAATGTACCGTAGCCGACAAGCGGTAGAGTTGTAAAGAGTAGCCTTAGTAAAACAAGGGCCTATAAAAAGGGATTCAAACTCTATACAAAGGAGGGTGGTTGAATACATTTATGAAACCCTAATCAGGCTTGACCCACTTTCCACCTTTCATGCCTTCGCCCAGAGCACTCGCCCGGACGAAGGCCTCCGTTAGTCCTTCTGTGTCCCACCTGCTGGAAATCCCTTTTTTCTAACAGTGATTGCCCTAAGAGCAGCACAAACTGGACCGCTAAATGTTCAGTCACTAATAACTAATAACAAGGCTCAATATTTCCACCTGCTAGGCTTTATTGTATATGCTAATCAACTTCAACTAGCCCAAAGAAGCACAGAGGTCAATCAAAACAATTTTGACACGTACTCCATGACATTTTCACACCAGTTGTTTCTGTAAGACCCATATGAGAAGTTGATCTTAATCTAAAAAAAAATATGAGAAGTTGATGCTTCTTGAAAATCATGACGACATCTGAGTATCTGACTTCGAGAAACTCAGATCGATTACCAAGATTTAATCACTCATCACTGTGTCAAGCACCTCCAGACTCTAGTCTCAGTTGCCGCCGCCGCCACCGCCACCGCGGCAAAGAACGTCGCAGGTACCGAGTATGACTATGGTGGCCGCTGCATCAACCTACTGCATCATTAGCCGGGCCAGGTGACTCAGGTCAGGCCCAAAAAAACTCAGCGTTTTTGGCCCGCACCTGAACCGACCCGACCCAACCCGAGCATTAGGTTGACAATCGTTGCCGGAGCCCACCCCCCGCTAGCCCGACGACACATCAGTACATCACATATCCATCCGTCCGCTGCGCCGCTGCTCCCTTCTCTGTCGCACTAGCACAAGCCCGCAACGTCTCCTTGCTCGGCGCCGTCACCACCGTCGGGTCGTTCCTCTGCGGCGGGCGGCGGCCGTTTGGTTGTCCGAACCGCTGTCCGTGTGAGGGAGCAGGAGGACAGGACGACATGTGCTACTACTGCCTGCTGCTTGCGAGTTGCGATGGCTGAGCCATTGAGGTGCGCTTTGCGCTCTCTCCTGCCTAGAGCAGTTCTGCTAGAGGAATGGGAGGGCCGGGAGTTAGAGGCAAAGGTCGGAGGCGATGAGCACCTGCTGCTTGGTGTTTCCTGGAGAGCGGCGGCCACGAACAGAAGAGGATGAGGAGAGGTGCTAGGTCAGACCGTCAGAGAGTGGAGGGAGCCTATTTAACTAAGGTATGGCCTCCAACTCATCTAAACTAAGGTATACCCGATATTAATCCAAATGAGGTGTCCTAATTATAAACCAGTGATCCGGTTTTAAGCACTAAGATTTAATATTTGGTAGCCAGAGCTGGGCTAGTTCAAGTGACCCTGATTAAGTTTGCTAAGCCTTGGGTGGACCTAAATTAAGATCTAATTAGTGCTACTCCAAGTCTCTGGTATGTTTAAGTTTTGGCTTAAGGCATAATTGTTGGCTTTTGATCGTGTTTAAGTACTAATTGTTTATGTTTTAGTCTAATTGTGCCACTGTTTAGTACTAATACCCAGATTAGCAACTAAGTCAATTAGCTTTGGGCCTAATTCACATCGTGTTAGTGAAATTAGGGCTAATTATGCTAGTGTTAGCCAAGGTTAATTGCCAACTCCTTTTAATTGACTCGGATTATACATGACAACACCTAATGAGGGACTAAGGTTTCAGTTTTAAGCATGTAGAAGGAGGGGGAAAGGCGTATTGCAAACTGTAAGATCAAATTCCCTAAATTTCGAGAACCTTGGATCTCGAACTTCTTTTTCCCCAGAATTTCCAAACCCTAAGTCAAATTCCCAAATATGTGAATCCTAAGTTCCTAACCCTACGTCAAAGGTAGTGGGCACTCACCTACCTAAGAGTCTTGGTGTCCACCCCGGTGTGCGGCATCGGCATGAGAAGTAGAGCTCGGTCGTGGCTTTACACATGGCCGTCGCTGACCCCACCACGTCGCACCATGTGGCATTTACTTGGATGAGAACTCGGGACAGTTGGCATGCCACATGGGCGGTTTAATGCAATTTCTAAGATTTGGGCCTAATATAGTACAATTAGCAAGTTTATGGTGCTAAAATGTATTTTAAGGGTACCGGGACCTGAGAACGAGGGACAAGTTTAAGCTCCGTTGATGAGATGTACTCCCCATGTTCATTATTGCAAGTACATAACACCGGTCTGTTGCTGCCACACATGTCCAGGCATTGCTTGGCTAGCTCTGCAAGCCCTCTGATCAATTCATTGCTCTCTTGCCCCTTCACGTGACTCGGCAAGATCGCATCAAGATTGTTCTCCTTCATAGCGGATAAGAAACTTGATGATAGGCTTCTTTGCGTCTCAGGCCCATCCAACTTCAGAGGCTCTTGGCCAGTGAGGATCTCAAGAAGGATAACACCAAAGCTGTAGACGTCACTTTTCTCTGTCAGTTGGCATGTTTGCATGTATTTAGGGTCGAGGTATCCACAAGTACCTTGAACCATTGTGACATATGATATTGCTCTTTGTCGGATGGTGCTAGTATGGAGGCTCCAAAATCTGACACTTTCGCCATATAGTTACCATCAAGAAGGATGTTGGCACTCTTCACATCACCATGGATGATTGGAGGACATGCATACGAGTGGAGGAAATTGAGTCCCTCTGCTGCTTCGTGAGCAATCCTTAATAGGGTGCTGAAGGGGATCTGTAATGCTTGGTTCTTGCCATGGATAAGTTCATACAGTGTTCCATTTGGGATGAACTCATAGACCAACATTGGAACTTCCACCTCAAGGCAACAGCCCTCGAGTTTGACAATGTTCTTGTGGTTGATTTGGGAGAGTATTAGCATTTCTTGACCAAATTCCTTATTTTGCCTTTCATCAATAAGCGCACATCGCTTAATCGCAACATGCATGTTGCCCTTAACTATCCCTTTGTAAACCGTCCCATGACCTCCCTTTCCAATTATTCTGCTCTTATCGTAGTTGTCTGTAGCTTTTACAAGTTCAGCTTCACTAAATACCGTGAAAGCAAGACCTTTTTCTGATCTCATCCTCTCAAGCAAAATCATGCCTCCATGTTGTCGAAAATGTTCTTGCTTAACCTGGTTCAGTTTTCTCTTTTGAAGAATCATGTATCCGAAGGAGGAGAAAATTACGAGAACAAGAAAGCCGACTGTAACTCCTGCATACACATCAGACAAGAGCACATTGTCAGAAAACGTGCTTTCCTTCTTTATATTTAGAGAGAAAACAGTGGTAGCCAGTTCAGATTGCTATACAAAAATTTCTGAAATATATATTGGTTCAGCTAGCTGATCTCAGCGTGTTACCTGTATCAGGGTCACACGTATTGCTTCGCTGGTTAAACTTTCTTCCTACTCGACAAGAACACCTGTACCCTCCTGCAGTGTTGTGACAAGCACCTCCTGAAGGGCATGGACTGCTCTTTCACTCATCAGCATCTGCAGTATGATGAGAAAAACTGAGATCGATATAAATTCAAAGTCTAGAGATTGATTGAATATTATATTTTGGGACAGTTGATAGTTTGCTACCATGGCATCCATCTGGAAGATATGGGTTGCCTTCGTACCCACTGGAGCAGTTGCACAGATACCCTGACCATTGGGTGAAACCACACACTCGCTGTTGCTGCTGAGGCACGCGTAAGTGCTGTGGTTCCGTTTGGCGACCTCACACGATGACGTGCCATCTCTTATCGCCCAGATCCATTACCACCGGCGCCTCCCAATGCTCGTGTCGTTGAAATCTGTCGTGTTGATGTACGTGGTCCTGAAACTGAACTCCTCCGCGTCCATCAGCGCGGCGTAGCTGCAACGGCCAAGGCCCAACCTCGAAACTTGGCTTGTGTCCTAGCCACCGTCGAAGCTTACGTTGTAGAAGCCCATCCCCTTGGGTATGGCGGTCTGGCAGCAGCCCATGCCAGAGCAGGATCCATCCGCTAGGTCTGACAAATCCTGGCATGTCGAGACGCACCCACTCTGGTAGCCCTTCACGGCGTTGTCCAAGATGTAGGCGAGGGTATTGCATCCTATGACGGTGAACTTGTTGTGGACGTCTGAAAACCGGAACGGGGTACCGCTCATGTCGAACCACCAAGTGCTACTGTACCTGAAACCGCCGGAGGAGTTATAACAGTACGCCGATATATCGTTCATCATCCGGAACGTGCCATAAATCAGGGAAATGTTGAGCAGCTCAAAATCCTGATTTTTTTTTTTTTTGCACTTTTTTTGAAAGTTTTTCACAAATGTGCCCCTGGAGGTATGATTTCAAAATGTAGACCCTCATCTCGGCGCCGGAGTAATTGACGCCGAGCTTACACGTCTCGGCGCCAGTGCATATGGCGTCTAGGTTTTGGGGCCACGTAGGCGTCAATGAAAACGTGACGGTGGCCTGGCAGGCACCTTGGCGCCACAGATCTTGGCGTCGAGTCTGGCGCCAAATATCTTGGCGCCGTTCCGGCCTTACAGGTGGATCCGTTTTCTTTCTCTCCTTCCTATCCTCTCTTCCTCTCCCGTTCTCTCACGCCACGCTCTCTCCTCACGTTGGCGCGTCGCCGTCTGGCGCCACGCGTTCGTCGCGCGAAAGCAACTTCGCCGCCGCGCACTACTTTGCCGCGCCAAACCAGCAACTCGGCGCGAGCAGGCTGCCGCGCCATGCCGGCCGCTTCTGCCTTGCGACCAGCGTGCCCGCCCGTCCCGCCTCAGCAGCCCGCGTGCCCGAGCCCGCCCTGAGCACTAGCGCCGCGCCCCGTCCCGCACCAGGTGTTAGTTGTTCCCATCTCATGGGTTTTCCCCACCAATGGGTCAGCGGGCACACTTTGATCCTCCTGTCCCGGAACCTGATATGGATGTGGAGGTTGCACCTATGGTTCCCGATGCTCAATCTGCCCTCAATGAGCTAGTTGGAGATGCTTGTCAGACTCATGATGTTGTGGCAGATCCTCCTCATGAGATTCATTTGACACAGAATCAGCCGAGTAAGTGTCTTATCCACATGGTTATTGGGAGCTTACCCCCTTTCTTACATCCATTTTTTCATTTTTCCTCATTTTTCTACTTATGTTGCAGGAGACATTCCTAACAATGTGGATATGCCCACTGTTGCTACGCAAGTGCACTGTGGAGATGGATTCTGTGGCTCCAATAGTATTGAAATTATGAATGATTCAGAGCCATATGAGATGGCAATGGCTCTTTATTCTGATGATGATCGTCCTATTGGAGAGCTGACAAAGAGTGATGTTAAGATGCTGAGGCGTATCTTTCTCGGCCGCTGTGATCCAAGAGTTTACGAGTTCAGCGATCTTGCTCATTCTGATCAGGCGTGTGCAGAAGGACGTGATGATGAGCTCCTAGAAGCTCCTTAGTCCGGCCCTAACATGGTAATTGAGAAGGGTAGGGTATTCAAGGACCTCCTTGCATTGAAGAGGTGGTTGCAGACATTTGCTGTGATACGAAAGAGACCTTCCAAGGTCTTGCATTCATATGCGGAGTGCCATTACACAGTTGCATGTGACAAGAAACGCTGCCTATAAAGGGTTTGTGCAAGGAAGCAAAAGGTCACCGAAAAGTAGAAGATCACAAAAGTTGTCGGGCCATACAATTATGCTGATCATGTGCTGACACTAAAGCATCGACAGTTGACATCTACCCTCATTGCCAAGTGGTTGATGGGAATATTGCAGGGAGAACCCAACATGAAGGTTAGGACAATTATCAGGACCGTTGAGGCGTTGTATGGAGGTTATGTGATAACTTATGGTAAAGCTTAGTGGGCTAAGCAGCGAGCATGGAAGATGATATATGGGGACTAAGAGGATGGGTATGAGCAGCTGCCAGTACTTTTCAATGCAATCAAAGTGGTGAATCCAGGCATGCATTAAGAGTACATCCCAAAACCAAATGCATGGAAGGATGGGAGGCAGATATTCTTTCGTGCTTTCTGGTGCTTCCCTCAGTGTGTCGAGGCCTTTAGGCACTGCCGTCCCGTCTTCTCCATTGATGGTACGTTCTTGATTGGCAAATACCAGGGCACACTTCTTATAGCCATATCCTGTGACGCTAACAAGTTGGTTCATTTGGCATTTGCTTTGGTTGAGAAGGAGAACAATGACAGTTGGGGATGGTTTTGAGGCTAGTCTGGATACATGTGGTTGGGCCTGACAGGGAGGTTGGCGTCATATCTAATAGGCACCAGGGCATACTTAATGTCGTGCGAGAGCAGATAGAGGGGTATGCACCTTTGCACCATCGTTGGTGTACTTGGCACCTTGCCGAGAATCTACTCCGGAAGGATGGTGTGAAGGATAACTTTGATCTGTTCCAGGAGGCTGCTCGATAGCTTGAGAACAAGTACTTTCAGAAAAAGTTGGAGTAGGTCAGAACCGCATCAAATGCAGAAGGTAGACAATGGCTCACAGGTTTGATGAGGGATTTGGAGAAATGGACAAGAGCTCACGACGCCGATGGATGGAGGTACGAGTTTCAGTGCAGCAACATAGCAGAGTCATTCAATAAGTTGCTATTGGGGATACGCGGTATGCCCGTGAATGCAATCGTTCAATTCACCGTCTATAAGCTTGTTGCCTGGTTCAACGATAGACATGCCCATGCATTGAAGTTGCGAAGTGATGGAGAGATATGGGCTTCGAAACCAAAGGCACACCTAGAGAAGGCAAATGAAAGGTCCGGCATACATGAGGTTACATGTTTTGACCACGCCACAGGGACTTATCAGGTTGAGCATAGGGGCGGTACAACGTCCGACGGTGAGGTCCGAGAGTCAAGGATGCATGTGGTAATCCTCCAATATTTCACATGCACTTGTGGTAAACCAAGGCAGTACCACTTTTATGTTCTTATTTGGTGGCAGCAACTAGGCATCGCAACTTTAATATCGAGAGCAGGATACCTCACGAGTTCAGTGTCGACACGCTTGTGCACACATGGAGCTCCCGCTTCGTGCCTTTCCGGGACCCTGCAAAATGGCCTCCATATGATGGGCCAAATTATATTGCGGATCTAGCTTACCGTTGGAACAAGCGTGGATCAAGGAAGAGGATGAGGCACAGGATGATTATGGATCAGATACCCGGAAGAACAAGGCGTGGGAGAGGAACCCCATTTCTTACCGACCTCGAGCAGTACGAGTGCAGCAAGTGCGGTAGACTGGGCCACAATTCACGCACTTGCCATTGACAGATTAGTGAGGTGCGACTATTGATTGTTTTCATTATTTCATATTTGTCATATTCATTCAATTAATTATGTATGTCTCAATTTATGCTTGTAATTGTGTCAATTACTTGTACATTTCTAAGTTTATGTTTCATTGTATATTGAATTTCTATTTCATTGACTTTTTTTGTAGGATGGCGCAATTCCACCTGCTCGACCCGACGTATAAGGAGACCTACCGAGGACGTCTCATAGCGGAGGGGCAGGTAATAATCTATACGTCTTGTTAAAATTTTTGTGAGCATACATGTATTCGTGAAGTAACGGGAGACTTTTATTCTATGCAGGACCTTCCGTTCTTTCGTCCTAGAACCCATAATGGGTTCTTGGACATGCAGTACGACAATAGGTACACTTCTTTCCTGTAAAGAGCTGGCCTAGATGTCATATCTTTTTAGGTTCGTCGTGGGTTGCTCAAGTTTAACTCAGCGGCCATAACTGCGTTGGTTGACAGGTATTATCTTCAATCATTGCCTACATTCATGGCCATTTGTTCATGTGATTGCCTTTTTAACATGTAGTCTTGCTTTGTCCAAAATGTAGGTGGCGGTCGAAGACTCACAGTTTTTAGTTGCCTTTCGGAGAGATGACAACCACGGTCTAGGACTGTCAGAAGATGCTAGGTTTGAGGATTTACGGCAATGCATTGACTAGGCAGTACAGGTCAGAAGGTTGGAGAGCACGAGTAGAGGCCTTCCTTGGGCGTGAGGTTGGCCAGCAAGGGACTCGCAGTTCTGGAGTTCTAATCTCCTGGCTTCGGCAAGAGTTCGCATAGTGCCCCGAGGAGGCAGATGATGAGACAATTGGGTACTACTGCACGGCGTGGATCCTATGCCTATTTGCCTGTGTTCTCTTCTCCAACGCCATGAGTGACACTGCGTTCTTTGCCTAAAGTACGTATTAATCAGCGGCATCAGTTTTTTTGGTTCACAATAGTGATTGAAGTCTGAAATCGAATAGGCTTTTTAGTCATGGAATCTAGGGGAAATAGCCTTTACAGTGATTTGTCATGTCACCGTCGAATAGACTTTTCAGTGTCCTTTGAAATAGTGATTGGAGTCTGAAATTGAATAGGCTTTTCAGTCATGAAATCTAGGCTCTTCAGTGTCCTACGATGTAGGCTTTTTAGTGATTCTGAGTAGACTTTCCAGGAGCATTTACAATACAATACAACGACTAGCAAATTTGTCACCGCCTGTATATATGCGTTCTAGGATGCATTGCTAATCAAAAGGAAAACCAAACTAGCAGTCGGTTTTGTTGGAGTAGGAATGTCTGGAGGGTCATCTATAGGAAAGGGTTTTAGGAGAGAGAGAGAAAAGGGGGACGAAGGGAACTTCCATTGTGTGGGAGGGGTCTCTTGGGTCTGATTTCTTTGAGGAACCAGTGTATCAGTTTTCCCCTAGAGCAAGAGTGATTTCACTAAAGAGTGCCCTATCAGAGGATAATAACAGGAAGGAAGATTGGCCAAAATGCATGCATGGTGATGACTGCTTAGTATAGATGTCCACCGAGGGGATCGACGGAGGTCGTCGCATCTTTAAATGCCCACGAGCATGGGTAATTGCTATTACACTTCGTTGGTTAAATATGTTTCTCGAATACCCTTACAACTCATAGGAAATACTTATTGTAGTCTTCCGAGTCCGAAGAAAACTATGGGTTCACTAGGTGGGTTGATTCTTGATCAATTTATCCGCATCAACAGTACATCTACTACCTGTAGGATCAAATCTTCGATCTACAAAGGGAAGTTAGCAGTGGGTACAAAGAAGACGAAGACGACAACAACAATAATGGTGCAAGTTCATAGGAGATACTCTGTAATGATCCATATTGCACTT